GTGTGCATATAGCAATGAATCGTCTGCATAAAGGATACCACAAGAATATCCATAATGATGTGGAAAATCGTACATGAATATACTATATAAATGGGGTGACAAAATGGAACCTTGAGGAACACCACATCCAATATCCACGAGCTCAGATACTAGTTGCTAAAACTGAACACAAAATTTCCTATTTGAGAAAAAACTATAAAACAATTTTATAACAAATGGGTCAAAATTAAGTTGTATCATTTTATATAAAATTCCTAAGTGGGATGCACGGTCAAATGCCTTTTCTACGTCAAGTGAAATAGCTACTGTACATTTTCGTTCTCGTAGATTACATATTATATCATTTTCAAATTTAAGTAAAGCATCGGTCGTAGAATGGCCACTTTTAAATCCGAATTGCAGATCTGGAATATATGACGAATTAAGACCATAGTCCATTTTAATGCGTATTATTCTTTCTAATAATTTCCCAAGGTTGGAAAGCATAGAGATGGGTCTCAAATTGTTAATTTCCGAATTATTTGGTTTTTTCAAAACCGGGACGATTTTGGAAATTTTCCATTTACCTGGAAAATATGCGTTATTCAAACAATTATTAAATATTATAACTAGGTACTCAAATGCCTTAGCAGGAAGCTTTTTTATTATGAAATTTGATATGTTGTCCAATCCATAAGACTTTTTGTTATTAATGTCTTTGATAATATTAATAATTTCGTCAATATGTGTTAGCCTGGGGTTTCTCATAAAATTAAGAGAAGATTCCATGGCATTAAAATTAAGCATATGATTTCTACTGGCTATTGTGTTATGAACTATATCTTCCATATCATGCATGTATTCACTTAAATTTGAATGACTATAAACAGTAGCGAAATGTTATTTAAGTTTATCGCATGCAACTAGATTATCGTCAATTAAAGCTCCATTTTCTGTTAATTTATTGAGGTTTGCTTTACGTTTATGACCAATGATATTATACACCTGCTTATGCGCTTTAGGTCCCGGTTTTATTAAACCTTTCAGAAAATATTTTAGACTGTTCAATTTCAACTTGCCTTTTAATTATAATACCTAATAGTTGCACCTGTTTTGATAATAAACGGTAATTTGGATCCGATCTATCTTGAGTCCTATTATAGATTTTTTTCAAATCCTTCTGCCAAGAATACTTCAGTTTGAAGAGGTTTCTTATTGCATCTGAAACGATGTATTTTTTACCCATTTTTTTAATTTCCGAGTGCCTGGTATGAGCATTGGTTATCACATCTGAAATATTGTCGATATAAAAGTCTATCTCAATATTAGAGAGATTCCTTTTTGAATCTGGAAAGCTATTCAACAAACCATCTTGAATATCAACTCGGAATGTATCCCAATTTGTGTTTTTATAGGAAGTATAAGATTTTAGAGGACTCAAAATAATAGATAACGATGACAATTTTAAGTGCAATTTTAAGGGAAAATGGTCAGAAAATGTTGGTAAGGAGCTTATTTGGAAATTTTGAGATATCGGATCGATTAAGTTTGTACTTACTATAAAATGGTCTAGAAATGATGCACCATTTGGGAAAGATGGAACGGAGTCTGAGATTCTTAAAAAATCCACCGACGATTCCTGAATCCATTCGTAAAAGGTGTTCCCATTCATATTATTTAATGTGTCACCCCAATCCGAGTGTCTGGAGTTAAAATCACCCCCAATTATCAATCCGTAGTAATTTCGGGAAATACTATTCAGAGCTTCCAAACTGGCACTATATTGAGTGCGATCAGCATTGCATGGGATGTAAATTGAACCAATCAAAACTCTGTGTTCAACGCCATTTAAAATGATACCAATACTTAAAAACAAGCTAGGATATGTGAAATCCCTTACAATCACCTTTTGAAATTTGAATGATTTTCTTAAAGCTATTGCTACCCCTTGGGAACTATTGTCCCTTACGAACGCGTAATTTTCTAATGCAACTCTATGGACATCTCTTAAGTGAGTTTCTTGTATAAAGGCGAAATCAATGTTATTTGCATTTAAAATCTTTGATAATTCAATTCTACGACTCGCTTCAATAAGCGATCTAACGTTAAATGACGTTTATAGCAATGAGCGACGGCATCCACTCATACTGAAGGTCCTATGAGTAAAATGCTGAAGACCAGAGATTAAAATGAGACCTGAAGTTTGGGGGCTGGGGGGCTATAGACTTCATATAGCTGATCTGAAGAGCCAAGAAGTTTAGATAGAGCCAGAGACTCATTGAGATGAGCTACACGAACAGAAAGTTCATAGAGAAAAACTTCTAAAAAGTCTCTAGAGGCGAAGTGGCTAATTTGCTTATATAGACGAGCTCTAAATGTCTAAACAATTTACATATATATGAGCTGAGGGTCAATATCCACTAATTTTATATAAATGAATTGTTGCGTCAGCGATGTCCAATTAGATGCTCAGGATGTCCATATGTACCAACTGAAAGACAATGGAAACAATCTTTAGATATGTAACACTGCATTTCCTTAATTGTCGGTCACGGAGTATATAGAGGCAAGAACCTGGGAAATAAAGGGATAATATGGAGGACTGAAGGCCAAGGGAGTCTACAGTTAAGTGGATGGGTACTTGGAGACAAGATAAAGGGTCTCTCCTCAGAGGAGCTTAAACTCAGAGAGTATCTATAGACGAGCTGGAAAACGGAAGTGCAAGAACTCATTTAAAGCCAAGGGCCTGCGTAATTATCAAGATGATATGAAAGACTTTGAAGTATCTTTAGAAGAGCTCAAGCTTGGAAATTGTCAAAAGATCTGGAGGAAGTTTTTTTTAGAAGAGCTGAACTACATCAAAAAGCCGAATTGGCAAATTGCAGTCTTCTTTTTTTTATGGCTGTAACTCAGAGATTTTATGCAGACGATCGGAAGAGTAAAAACAGAATTTGCATAGCCGAGGTGGAGCACCAAGAAGTTTATGTAAACGAACGAAAGAGCAAAGATTTTATAGAGGTGCTTTTATAAGGTGCTTGTAGAGCACTTAAAAATACGATATAAAGTCTCTTTGGAAGAGCTTAAGCTCGGAAAGTATCTATATACGAGGTGAACTAATCCAATAACCAAAATGTAGAGGTTAAATTGGCAATCTGAAGGAATTCTTTAGAACAAGGGGGCTGTGTACTTATAAAGACGAAATGAAGGATTTTGAGGTTTTTTTAGATTTTTTTTTTTTTTTTTTTTTTTTGAAGAGCTAACCTACACCTTTATATTGAAAACCCAAATTGCAGTATTGTTTGCAAAATGTCGGGGGTCGTTTTATCAAAACCTTGACCTACGTTCGGGTCGGTACCTATTTTCAATACCGAACATTCTAATTCATCAACAAATTTATTAAATTGTGCAATTGAGTATTAAAGTATACAAATTTCCCTAACATAAATGACATACAGGTTCCTTAGAAATCTGATTGTCGTTAACTGTTAAAAAAAATTATACAAATGGATCCAGACCAGAAGGAAGGCCGAGACTGTGACTCTTTATAAAAGACCTGGGGAGATTTATATTTGTCCTGTCTATCGACTTCTTCATTTGCTTGGGTGCTGGTCGCGCATGTATTACAGATACCGAATAAGCCAGAAGTCCTGTAAGAAGGTATTCTCGCCATTGACAGTTCCAAATGACTACTTACAGACACTGTTTGTTATAAATTCAGATTAGACATTCGAAACACCTAAAATGTAGCCAGGCACTGAAAATATGACTTCTATGTCAAAAATATTGATCTCTATGTAAAGAATATTTCTATAGGAGTTTAACAGAGATTACTTAATTTTTAACTACTTCCTCCAGTTAAAAAATACCTCGGATTGACAAGGTTACTGCAAAAGTATTAGAAATGGCGCAATTCTGCATAAATAATTGTGTCGTTTGTAAAATTTATATTTTTATATTGTCTAGTAGTTGCTTAGAAGTAGTTTTAAGCCCCTCAACCCAGGCATAGTTTTGACCGTTATTGAGGTTTGAAACCAGGTCTGTTCTTCGACACCTCATTTTATTTGAGTCACAACTTGCCTCTGAAGTTTGCATCGAGATTTACTTCCCCTGACCTCCTTAAGGCCATTTATGTTTGTTTGGCTTATTTTTATGTGACACATTGGCTGTATGTATGTCTAGTGATGCCATCAAAAATATACAGTTGTTCACGATTTCTCCATGGCTGCGAGGCGTGATTCACAGAAACTCCCTATAGTCGTCGAAGAAGGAACCGTTTTTATTGACTAAAACCACATTTCCTTATCTACCTTAAATGTTGTGTCCAATAACTTAACAATTTTGAGCTTATTTTCTTATAATTTTGAGGTTCCAAAAAAATTCCTGAAAATCAAATTTAACCATATTTCAGTATCATATTATTTTTTAATGCAATCAATGCTTTATTCCATTTTTATTAAATTGAAAAATAAGATTTTTCTAAATATTTTACCTTTCTATTTTCCAACTGGTGTAAGTTATGCAAATTTATTGTCCTGTGTAAATTGCATTTCAGTAACTGTTAACATTGAAAACCCCCACCAACCAACCAACAACAAACATACTAACAACAACAAAAACATAAATAAAATCCCTGCAGTAAACTGCAGCAATATTTTTGAAAATCGTTAACGGGAAAACAAAGCCATACCGCAAAAAAAAAACAGAGACGGATTTTCAGATTTATTACCCCATTGGAGGAACAAAAAAATCACTGCATTTTTTAACACAAACAAACACCAACATCAAAATAACTTCATTTGAAATTCATGGATTTTTTTCCCAAAAAATTTCTCGTTTTTCTACTCCTCTTTCTCTTTTTTCAAACTCTTGTTGTTGTTTTTGTTTGTTTTTCTACTATTTTTCGATTCTATTTTCTTCTTGATTTTTATTTATATCAATTTTTCGGTTTTCCGTTTTTTCTGCAAAATTTTCATTTCATATTTGTGTGTGTGTGCCTGTGATTTTTGAACACCCCCGTTCAGACACTAAATCAAAACAAGACCATGGAAGGCTGCACCTCACCATTAGTGGTGAAATTCGCCGATACCCAAAAGGAAAAGGAACAAAAGAAAATCCAACAAATCCAAGCGAATCTATGGAATTTGGCGACGAACATGAATATACCCCTGGGACAGACAGCGACAACGGTTTCGACGCCGGCCATAATGCCAAGTACACCGCAACAGGCCAGTCCGGTATTGGGAGCCGATGCCATAACACCAGCATCATTGCAGCTGTTGCAACAATTGCAGGCAGTGGGTCTGCAACAGCAACTATTGCAAGGTATGTATGTGGGTGGGTGTGTGTGTGTCTGTCTGTATAGAAATGTATTTATGTGAAGTGTGAAAGCCTTTGGGATGGCTTACGAAGCAAAAGTGGAAGTGGAGGGAATATAAAATACAATCTTTGATTTGAATTTATTACATTTCAATGATTACGACAGCCACTGCGGGGCATACTCATAGCCTTAGCTAAACATTTTGTGGAACAGTGGTATGGAAGTAGAGACAAAAATGATGATGATATTGGTGTGCATTGTAGAGTGCACATATTTTTTGAGGAGGTGGAATTTGAAAATTTTTGGATTTTATTTTGTTTTGAAATTCACCATTTTTGGTTTATTGTTTTATGTGTATTTTTTTGTATTGAAAGCGAGCCAGCTTTTTCCCTCTGATTACCATACTATGGAAAGACAAAGACTAAATTTTTACAGCAATTATACGATGCGATTTTATCCTCTTCAAAGGTAAGACTGATATTGACAAAGATCCGGCTGAATATGATTTATGTTATTTTTTTTCAGGGCTATAGAGGAGCAGAAGGGTTAGATTTTTAAGAAAATAGTTTATCAAAGATCCACACGACGCTAGATTTTTTTTTTAAATATTTTTTAAGGATCTACAAAAGGCATAGATTAAAAAAAATAAGGATCCACACAAGGCGTAGATTTTTTAAAGATTTTTTTTTTCAAGCATCCACACAAGGCGTAGATTTGTTAAAGAATATTTTTTCAAGCATCCACACAAGGCGTAGATTTTTTAAAGAATATTTTTTTCAAGCATCCACACAAGGTGTAGATTTGTTAAGGAATATTTTTTTCAAGCATCCACACAATGCGTAGATTTTTTAAAGAATATTTTTTCAAGCATCCACACAAGGGCCTCTACGGAGCGTAGATTTTTTAAAGACTAATTTTTCAAGCAACTACATAAGGGTCTCTATGGAGCGTAGCTTTTTTAAAGAATAATTTTTCAAGCAACCACATTAGGGTCTCTATGGAGCGTAGATTTTTTAAAGAATGTTTTTTCAAGGGTCTATTGATCGAAAATTTTTTAAAAAATAATTTTTCAAGCAACCACATAAGGGTCTCTATGGAGCGTAGATTTTTAAAAGATTATTTTTGAGGGTCTATTTGGAGCGTAGATTTTCTAAAGAATATTGTTGAGGGTCTATATGGAGCGTAGATTTTTAAAAGATTATTTTTGAGGGTCTATATGGAGCGTAGTTTTTTTAAAGAATATTTTTGAGGACCTATATGGAGCGTAGATTTTCTAAAGAATATTTTTGAGGACCTATATGGAGCGTAGATTTTCTAAAGAATATTTTTGAGGATCTATATGGAGCGTAGATTTTCTAAAAATTATTTTTGAGGGTCTATGTAGAGCGTAGATTTTCTAAAGAATATTTTTGAGGACCTATATGGAGCTTAGATTTTCTACACAATATTTTTGAGGACCTATAAAGAAGAATATTTTTGAGGACCTATATGGAGCGTAGAATATTTTTAAAAGAATATTTTTGAGGACCTATATGGAGCGTAGAATATTTTTGAGGACCTATAGAATATTTTTGAGGACCTATATGGAGCGTAGATTTTCTAAAGAATATTTTTGAGGACCTATATGGAGCGTAGATTTTCTAAAGAATATTTTTGAGGACCTATATGGAGCGTAGATTTTCTAAAGAATATTTTTGAGGACCTATATGGAGCGTAGATTTTCTAAAGAATATTTTTGAGAGTCGATATGGAGCGTACATTTTCTAAAGAATATTTTTGAGGACCTATATGGAGCGTAGATTTTCTAAAGAATATTTTTGAGGACCTGTATGAAGCGTAGATTTTCTAAAGAATATTTTTGAGGACCTATATGGAGCGTAGATTTTCTAAAGAATATTTTTGACGACCTATATGGAGCGTTGATTTTCTAAAGAATATTTTTGAGGACCTATATGGAGCGTAGATTTTCTACAGAATATTTTTGAGGACCTATATGGAGCGTAGATTTTCTACAGAATATTTTTGAGGACCTATATGGAGCGTAGATTTTCTAAAGAATATTTTTAAGGTACAGTGTGCATATGTTTGTAGCAGGGAAAGGGAAACGATATAGACACATGATTCCTTTTGAGAATATGCATAGAATCACTTCCTAAGTCGATTTATGCATATCCGTCCGTCCGTCTGTCCATGTTAAATTGTAAACAATACAGGTCGCATTTATTATTCGAATTGGATGATATTTGGCACAGCCCAATGGCGAACCCTATTGAAATTAGGAAAAAATCGGTTCAGATCCGATTTTATGTAAATGGTGCACCAAAAACCATATATATCCTTCGATTTGCACGAAATTTGGCATAGCGTACTGAATTATGTCTAGAACGATGTGTGTTAAATTTCGTAAAAATCGGTTTTGATTTAGATATATCTCCCATATATTTTTTCGTCCGATTTTTTGTAAATGGTGCACCAAAGTCTGTACATATCCTTCGATTTGCACGAAATTATGATTTATAAGTAAATGAAGAATTCAAAATGTGGCCGAATGTACAAAACATACTGAAATAAGTGTAACCTAACACGTGACAAGTTTCGATTAAATCGGTTTAGATTTCGATATTTTGCTTTGAATTTATTTACATAATTTTGTCTCATTGTAAGAAGCAACTCTATATCTGACCAAAATTTAGTATAGGTTGCAGAATAAAATGTTTAATTTCATGTTAATGGTCCTTCAAAAATGCGACATCTGTTAGGATTCCATCTGTTGAATATATGGTGAAGGGTATCATATTGTCGGCCCGTCCGACTTTACTGCTTTCCTTACTGGTTTAAAGAATATTTTTGAAGCTATATATAGAGCGTATATTTTTATAGAATATTGTTTAAGAGTCTATTGAGCGTAGATTTTTAAAGAATATTTTTGAGGGTTTATATGGCGCGTAGTTTGTTGAGGGTTTTTATGCAGCGTAGTTTATTTCAAGAATATTTTTTCAATTTCCTTCAATTTCACCTTTTCAAATATTCTGATCGAAAATATTCTCCAGCGATGTAACTATTGATAAAGGGTACATTATCAGCACAAACTTGATTTTGATGAACTATAAAATTCCAAATTATAATTTTTAAAAATTTGTACCTTTTATTCCACTGGAAAATATCTCCCTTCCATACCTCGACTGTTCCACCGTTCAACAAATACCTTTACCACTAATTACTAATAAATGTATTTTTGTTTATCTCTTCCACTTCTCCCCTCTTTGCATTTTAGGCCTGGGTGCACAAACAAATACAGCGGATACAACGGCCGCAACAGCAGCGGCTGCTGCCGCTGGTCTACTACCTCCGATGACTGTACAAAATTTAGCTGCCCTTGCAGCCATGACTCAATCCTCATTGACGAACACGGCCAACAATCCGGGCAATGCTCAATTGACAAATACAGCCGCCTTATTGTGTAAGTATTATTATCAATTATGTACATATGTATTAAAATATAAATGTGTATATCTATCTCTCTGTGTGTGTATGTTGGTGTGTGTGTTCGTGCATTTTACCTTTTGATAAGAGACAAAATTAATTAATTGCTGCTTAAAAAGTTTCAAATTAAGCTTCAAATGTCAACAGCTTTTATCATGTTGCGTATTAACTTCCTTGTTCTTGTTTTTGTTGTTGTTGCCGCTGTGGCAAATTTTTGTAATCGCCTGGATTTTTATAAAGGCATAAATCCCCACTTTTAATTTTTACCACAAACTACCACCACATGTCAATTTCAAACCTCAAATCGATATCAATATTATTACGAAACAGCTGGCTTCTGAATTAAACCCATTATAGTCAGAAACACATATACATACCTAGCTATATACATAATAACCAACCAATGAGATGTTAATCCTTCAATGGATAATTTCAACAACAACAACTACCTACCCCATTCACTCATTTATTTATTCTGAACTTTTAATAAGAGCCAATGCCAGTTTAATCCGTTTTCATAAGTAATGTTTAAGTGAAAATTACACAAACATTACTTAACACATGCGGTGGTGGCTAGGCCCATCACCGCCACCACTCACTTCTCATCCCCAACCCACCCTCTCACTCTTTCCGTTGATATTTCCCACAGCATCAATGGTGGTCGCCATTAATACATGACCGGCCATGCATCATTGACCATTGATTGCCGGATATTGTTAATAAATTGTAATCCCCCAGACCACAGAAACAACACGCAGACATACCGACAATCCTATCGTTCACTGTGAACTCACATTCCTCCTCCATCAATTCTCCAATTCCACCCATTTGCCATTGTTGGTCATTAACCAACCACCACCCATTGTTCGCTGGGGCCAATATCCGTTGGTTTTTTGTTGACTTAAACTTAATTATATTGATAATTTAAAAATCATTTAATTAAATAATTCATTATACGCCAGTCAGAGTGTATACTATAATGACATGACCAAAGTGGACAGGGTGGTGGTAAACAATTATTTAAAAGGGGATCATTTTTGAAGGAATTTTAAAACCGTCAAATATTGTTTCAAGGGCTATTTGAGCGAAGATTTTGCAAATAATATTTTTTTTGGGCCGTCTGACGAGTAGATTTTATACATAACATTTTCGGAAATAGCGTAGATTTTGAACAGAAATGTTTTCAAGAACTATAAAAAGCGTAGATTTTTAAAATAATATTCTTTCAAAGCATAGTAAAGTTTTATAATATTTTTTAGGGTCTATATTGAGCGGATATTTCCAAAAAATGTTTTTACCGGGTCTAAGTGGAGCGTAGATTTTATTATTAAATGTATATGTTTTCAGTTTCAAAATGAGGCGTAGCGTAGAATCAAGATTTCATAAGGAATTTTCTCTTCAGGTTCTATATAAAGTGTAGATTTTTAGAGAAAATTTTTTAGCTTTAGCAGCAGGCGTAGTTTTTTCAAAGTCGATTTTTTAAAGGATATTTTTCTGGGTCTAAAGAAGCGTAGATTATTAAAGTATATTTTCCATAATCAAGAAGAACCGTAGATTTTTAAAGGAAAACATTCTTCAGGGTCTATAGAGCGTATATTTGTATACCCTACACAACTATGTTGTCAGGGTATTATAGCTTTGTGCAGCCACGCGAAATATTGGTCCTAGACCCACCTTCAAGTATACCGATCTCATATCTCAACTAGCTGAGTCGATCTAGACATGTGACGGATACATATGTCTAGATCGACAGTCCGTCTGTCCATTATAATTTGTAAACACGATACAGTCCACAGTTATGGACCAATCTTCACGAAATTTTGCACGTAGGATGGGTGCTGGCCAATGAAGACCCCTATTGTTTTTGTTAAAGATTGGTTAATATTTAGGTGATGAAATGGACCAAATACTAAATTTTTGTCGGTTTTTCTGGTCGCTCCAGAGGCCGCAATTATGGCCCAAACATCGTGAAATTTTACATAGAGTAGGGGATCGATCCAAGGAATAAGCATGCATGTTTTGATAAAGATCGTTTAATATTTAGCGGGTCAAATAGACCCTGACTTTTGTGTGAAAAAATACAAAATTTCTATTCTATGGCGTATAGATTAACTCCGATGTTATTTAGTATCCCATAACCACACTAGAGGGCGGAAATATAGCTCCGATCGCTTTGAAAATTTCCACAAGGATCTAGGTATGGTTAAGGACAACGTCTACCTCTGACATCTAATCGGTCAAGGGTATGCAAATATCGGGAAATATTGCTCAAGCTCAGAATATGAACCATAGAAAGTTAGATTTCCATGGATGTTGTGTAGGGTATCATATGGTCGGCCCCGTCCGACTATAATGCTCCGCTCACTGGTTTAAATACTATTTTCCAAGGGTTTATACGAGTGTACAGCGTAGATTTTTTAAAGGATCCCCAATGAAAAAGCATAGATTTTTTAGAGTATTTTTTAAGGATCCCCAATGAAGGAGCGTAAATTTTTTAAAGAATATTTTTTCATGGCGTAGGGTTTTTCAAGCATCCACACAAGGCGTAGATTTTTTAAAGAATATTTTTCAGGGATCTACACCAGCCGTAGATTAAAAAAAATATTTTTCAAGGATGCAAAGAAGACGTAGATTTTTTAAAAAATATTTTTAAATGATACAAACAAGCCTTAGATTATTTTTTAAGACTAAGATTTTTAAAGAATATTATTTAAAGGACGTAGATTTTTATAATAGTATTTTTTAAAGGGCTATATGGATTGTAGATTTTTTATAGAATATTTTTGAAGTGCTAATGGTGCATAATTTTGTAAAAGAGTATTTTTTGCAAGGACTATATGGAGCTAAATGTTGTAAGGAACATATTTTAGGGTCTCTATAGATTGTAATTTAAAAAGAAACCAGTGAGCGGAGCAGTATAGTTGGACGGGGCCGACTATATGATACCCTACACAACTACCACGAAAAGCACACTTTCGGTGATTCTATATTCTGAGCCTGGGCACCCCTTTTACCGATTATAGATCAACTACTCCTTTTTCTATGTCTTGCATATTTTCCAAAATATTTCTTCATGAAGTGAACTTTTACGTCATACAATAAAAAATTGGTCACTTTAGGTTTTGTTTGATTTGCCCCTCGGAAAATTGACCGATCATCATCTAAACAGCCGCTCTAAATATTTGGTCAGATCCCCTTCACCTTATAAAATATGTGATGTTCTGTATATAATAATTGCCTCTGGAGCGACTAAAAAATCTGACAAAATTAAAGTTTTCGGTTCATTGCACCCCCTGAATTAAATCTCAACTTCACCGAAAACTATAAGCGTTGTCCCTGACCATAATCGGAACTTCATGTACAATTTCAAAGCGATCAGCGCGACATTTCCGTCCTCTAATGGAGTAATAGTAATAATATGCACATAGTCACCTTTACGTATAACTCCCGCATCGGAGTACATACAGCCATATAATTGGTATCAATTTGAAGGTCAACAACTCATCTTGGACATACTATAAACATCTCGAGTATATGTCCTTCAGGAGCAAGTATATACCCCCCAGAATAAAAATTTTGTAATTTTTCACACAAAAGTCATGGTCCATTTGACCCGCTAAATATTGACCGATCTTTATCAAAACAGGCATGCTTATTCTTAGGCCCGATCCCCTTCTCCATGTAAAATTTCACGATGTTTGGACCATAACTGCGGCCTCTGGAGCGACCAAAAAAACGACAACAATTTAGTATTTAGTCCATTTCATCCCCTAAATATTAACCGATCTTTATCAAAAACAATACGGGTCTTCATGGGCCAGAACCCATCCTACATCCTACGACTCAGCTAGTCGAGATATGACGATCGGTATACTTAAAGTTGGGTCTAGGACCGATATTTCGCGGCGTTACAAATTCCTGGGACTCCACAAAGCTATAATATAGTTGTGTAGGGCATAAAAATATTTTGAATATCAGATTAAAAAAAAAATATTTTGACAGGGTATATCTATGTAGGGCCTGCTATAGAGTTTAGATTTAAAAATATATTTTGTTAGGACACGTAAAAAGTGTAGACTTTTTAAAAAAATATTAGTTCATGGTCTTTATTGATTTTTAAAGAATATTCTATCAGGGTTTCTGTAGAGTGTAACTGTTTCATAGTCTATGTAGAGCGTACTATAGAATGTTGATTTTTTGAGGAATATTTTTTTTGTCTATATAGAGTGTAGATTTTTTAAGTATTTTTTTTCACGTATTGATTTTTGAAAGAATATTTTGTTTGGGGTCTGCAAGAAGCGTCGATTTTTTATACACTTTTTCAGAGTCTATATGGAGTGTAGATTCGTAATATAATGTTTTTCATATTATTGCTGAAGAGTATACTTTTAAAGAAAATTTCTTCAGAATCTTCGTAAAGCGTAGATTTTTGAAGAATATTTAGAAGGTGGAAGAATCTACACTATAATCTATATTAAATTTGGCATTACATTTACAAAATCAAAAATTATAAATATTGTATCGAGTTTCAATATAATACTTTATATTCTTATTGAGCGCCAAATGTTTCCACCAAAAGTGCCAATAACACTACACATTATGTATTAGCTCACACACAACTGTACCTCCAATTTTCAAAATTTTTTTCACGATTTTCAACCGAGTTGTTTGTAATTATATATTTGTGGTTTTTATCCAGTGGCATGTTTTTCTTTCTGGAAATTAAGAATATCGGACCATGGCCAAATATAGTTCCCATATAATGTATCCTTACTCTTTCAATACCTTGAGAGATAAACAACTTCTTCGCAGAACATTTTTAATATAAGTTCATGTTTCTACATAGCTCTCATACAAAGTTCACGCGTTTTTTTCATGTCCTAGTCCAATTTTCAAGGTTTTCTAGGTCAAGGTCCTAGTCCAATTTTCCAACCTGAGTGTCCGTAGAAATAGCCCCTATATACAAATCCTTATCTATTTTAGGTATATTAAATGTCCTCATTATAGTGAAGGATTTTAGAAGTAGATACGTTTAGGATTATTTTGTATTTACCGTAAATACTCCCCTTCAACTACAACGACTCCGCCCCTATTTTCCCTACCACCACACTGGCACTGATGCTATGCTACGAAGCTGACCTCTGACACAATTGTTTTTACGTTTTTCCCGACAGAAAAAAAGGCTTTAGACACTTATTTTTAAGGTTTTAATGTTTGTGGCCAAAAACAATAACGATCATCACCGCCAACGGGTGTTATTTCACAATTCAATTGGGGACGCACAGTTTTCACAGTTGCCTGTATGTGGCTACGAAATAAAAACAAAAACACATACTCATATACATATAAATATATATATCTTACATTTATATATATGTATGCGTGGCCTTTCAATAATGACGATTAATTGACATCAATTGGTAAAGAGAGTTTAAAAAACAAATCTGTCAAATGCAGGCAATATTGTCTTATAGCGTGAAATGCAGTTCAAAATAAATTAAGTTTTTCAAAAAGGGATTTACTATTATTGTTTTTTAATAAGAAATATTTAAATATAAAGATTATAGGAGTACGGAAAATATTAAAGTATATATGCACCTAGTTGTTCGGGTCAATTTGGGGGAACTTGTATCGGTAAATACTGTATGGTAGAACATAATCGGACCCCTTATACGATTAGAACAGAAAAGTTTTGAATTTTTGTTCGTTCGGAGTCGGAGTAGACTCGTATTAAACGAAGAACATAAAAAATATTCCCCAATTTATTTTTTTTTTAATTTGTTGAAAATAATTGTGTGAGAACATAATGTTGAAATTTTGAAAATTCTATTATTTTCCAATGCTGCCTAAGTGTTTTGATATTTGTTACATGTTCAAATTCTACTTTACATACATAGCTATATTAATTTATATGTCTCACTTTATATATTTATCTTTCCTTTATTTTCTACATGCAATTCCAAACACAAAAGGTCTATTAGGAAAATCTGCCAATACAGGTGAGAAACAATAAATGTAACAATTTAAATGTTATGTTTTTATTGTTTTTGTCAAATTGGCTATATATTTGTTTTCTTTGTTTGATTTTGATAAATTGTTAATTTGAAAAATTCTCAAACTATCCTGTTTCATATTTTCAATTAAGTTTTTGTTTTACGTTGAAAAAAAAATCAGTGTAACGTGCATGTTGCCTTATTTCTTATAGAAATATTTATTATAAAATAATTACTGATAATAAATGTTATATATCTTCTATATGTCTCTCCATCTCTTTCTCCCTTTCTCTTTCATAAATTTATGTCTTTCACTGTGATGATGATTATGTTTGTCATTGTGTTTATATAGCGAGACAGCGTAAAGTTCGCTCTCTCAAATCAGAAACGGCTGAACCAACATCAGCCAATCGGATAAATTTTGTGGACCTGACAAATAGTTAGTATAAACAATTTAATTATTTTCTATAAATAATTATTATAAATTTTTTTGTTTTGATATATTTTTCATAATTATTTTTAAATTACATATATAAATATGAATTTATATAACATTTATAAAAAATTAGGAAAATGTACCGCAAATTATAAATAATTATGGAACTCCGGAAAATTAATAATTTCGGATGATAACTGCTATAAATATTAATTTTTGAAAGCATAGAATGGATTATCAGAAAATACTTTGAATTGCAATGGAAACAATTTTATACCCTCTGTTTGTTGAAATCACGACAGAGATCGCAATATTTAAGATAAAGCTTAGCAATTTTGTTAATACTTCTACGTTGTTTGGTATTAAAAAAGGGATATATCTATCCACTATTTGTATAGCCCTCATATAACATTACCCCCAAATGGTCGGTTTTTTAGAAAATTTTCAAACGTTTTTAAACCGAATTAGCTATAATACCGATTGGGTAGCAAATCCTCGAACCAAAAATGATGAATATCCGTCCACTTTTGAGCATTGCCTTTATATTACGGAACTTCCAATTATTCGATAATTTGTGGAGTTTGGGTATGCTTTTATACCATTTTTTGTACTGTGGTACTTTGAGTTCCAATTGGGTAGTAAATCTTCATATCTAAAACCAGTAAGGAAAGTAGTAAAGTCGGACTGGGCTTCACCACTTTGGGTATATTGTACATATGTATCCTTGCAATGGCATTTCAATGTTCCCTCAACGGAAAATTCTCATGTATTTCTGCAACCTATGATAAATTTCATTTCATTCGGGCAGATTTAGTGTCGTCTGCGTACCATTAGACACATTTAGCAAAATTGATACATGCTATTCGGTACGCCGCGCTGTTAAAATTTTAATCCCAATTTCCGCAAAACGCGATAAAGATATTCAACTTTTAATTTGATACGTTGTGCAAAATTTCGTGTTAATCGGACAAACATTGGGAGTTTGGTGCACCATTTATGTAATATTGAACAAATGTATGTGGGTTTCTATGGGAGGTATATCGAAATCAGAACAGATTTTCCCGAAACCACACTTCATTCTTGATTTAATTCCAAATTTCGTGCAAATCAAAGTATATAAAAGGACGTTGGTGCAATATTTACCTAATATCGGGCGAAACTATATCGACGCCTCCGAACCATAGTATGCTAAGTCTAAAAAGTGAGTTTTTCAGTAGAAGCTTTCAACGTATGGAAGTTTCTTTAATCGTACGTGCCATGCTAAGAACATTTTTGCTTATAACTTTGGTTTGGATTGGCCGATGATAACCAAAATTTCAGTGAATGTAAATTAAGGACCGTAGTATCTAAAAGCGTAAAGAACTCTAAAACATGATAAGTCGACTTAGCATACTATGGTTCGGAGACGTCGATATATGAGAGCTATATCTAAATCTAAACCGATTTTCACGAAACTTAGCACACGTCATTCTAAACTCAATTCAGTACACTATGCCAAAATTCATGCAAATCGAATGATTTTCAGGGACTTTGGTGCTCCATTTACCTAAAATCGGGCGAAACTATATATGGGAGCTATATCTAAACCTGAACCGATTTTCAAAAAAAAATTTACCCACATCATTCTAGACTCAATTCAGTACGCTATATCAAATTTCGTGCAAATCGGAGGATATATGGACTTTGGCATACCATTCACCTAAAATCCGGCGAAACCATATATGGGAGTTGTATCTAAATCTGAAATTTTACACACATCATTGTAGACTCAATCCAGTACGGTATGCCAAATTTCGTGCAAATCGAAGGACATATAGGGACTTTGGTACACCATTTGCATTAACACTAGAAATACCGGAATTTTGTATATACCTATATTGCCTAAAATCGGTCAAAATGACCTCATTCTGAAATAATTTTTATTGTGTAAAGAAATTGTTTATAACTTGTTTTTAATAATTAATTTATCTATAATCATACAAAACGTTGTTATTATTTGTTTTCGGCGGTAGGGCTCTCGAGTTTCCCTTTTTGAAAAATAAGAGCGCGGACAAAATGTTCGAAAAAGAGGAAGTCTTTACTCTAAGAGTGAAATCGACTGGAAATATAAAATTTATTTTTCCCGATTTGTGTGTTCGTTTGTGTTTCTAGAGTAGCAAACGGTTTTCGATGTTGTTGTCCTGATCTGGTCACATAAGAAATTTACTTTATACAATAATAAAAGTAGTTGATTATTTAATATTTCACATGAGGTCAAAATGACCGATTTTAGGCAAAATAGGTATAGCACATGTGAATACGGGGAATGAAAGAGGGGAGGAAGCAGCTACTATGATAAATAAACGTAGTACTATTTGGTACAAAAAGTCACCAAATTTTTAAAAGCTGTGTCATAATATACACAATTATTTTTTTACTTGAAATTGAAAAACGGTCAAAATGACCGCTATCGGCAATCTAGTGTTAAATCGGGCAAAACTATATATAGGATTCGTCTTTGGGCCAAATAAGTGAACTGTGCCAAATTTCATTCAAATCGGATCATAAATGCGACTTGCACTTTGTTAACAAAAATACATGGACGGACGGACATGCGTAAATGGACTCAGAAAGTGATTCTATGCATATTCTCAAAAGGAACCATGGGTCTATCTCGATTCCTTTTGCCTGTTACAAACATATGCACAAAGACATAATACCCTGTACCACAGTGTGGTGAAGGTGGATAAATCACCATTTTTTTAGCCCCCATATAACGGTACCAAATTTTCGATATTTTAAAAAATGTTGGCCAAATTTTTTAACTGTACTTCGAGTTCCTCGCACCAAAATTCGATATCGGTCCACTTTTGAGGATAGCTCTCCTACGACTGTACTTCCCATTATTCGATAATATGTGAAGTTTGGGTATGTTTTTTAAACCAATGGTCTGTAATTTGGTTCTTTGCGTTCCCATTGGGTAACATTGTCATACCTCAACTAGCTGAGTCGATCTAGATATGTGTGTCCGTCCGTCTGTCCATTATAATTTGTTACCACGATTCAGGCCACAACCACACATAGAGAAGGGTCTGGCTATAGAATAAGCATGACAGTTTTGATGAAGATTGGTCACTATTTAGCGGGTCAAATGGATCCGACTTTTGTGTGAAAAATTTCAAAAATTGTATTCTGGGCCGTATATATTCACTCCTGAAGAAGATAGACCCGAAAAGTTTATAGTATATCCAAGAGTAGTTGTTGACCTTAAATTAATACCAATTATGTTGTCATATGTGGGTGTTATACTAAATATTCCGGATGTGGGTGTTATACTAACATTTTTTAAAGGGTCTACGTATTCTTATATTGCTTAGTATTACTATTACCCAATTAGAAGACACAAATGTCGCTCTGATCGCTTTGAAATTTGACATGAAGATCCGGTTTTGGTCGAGGATGTCAACATCACATATTTTACATGGTGACGACTGTTTACATGATGATCCGTAAATATTCCTAGGGTCAAATCAACCAAAAACTAAACTTCTTTATGTCTTTGGTTTATCGTAGTCATGCACCCTTTATAGTTCGCGGGAAGGAAATTTGGGCATAGTTAAATATTTCCAACGCTAGAGGGTCAGATTATTCGTTATTAATATCGAATGTATCCTATTTTCCCTTAAATAGTTTAAATCAAACCCCCCTAACAAAACACATTTAAATGCTTTACTAAGTCTATACCTACAAACATTGGCGCATCCAAATGGAAATGACAATGAAAATTCTTGAAATGACAATGAAAAAATGAAATGCCACACTATTCAGGGTTAACAGATATATAAATTTAAAATTTCAAAATTTATATCCTTATACACTTAAACTGGCCTTAATGCGTTGATTCGAAGCTGCTGCGAAATTTTGCCGCTTGTTCATTCGTAAAGAAATTTTTGTTATTTTAGATAAGAATTTTGTTCTATTCGCACATATTTTCGTTTCGTACTTCGTGAAAAACTATAGTTTGGAGCGTATGTTCACAGTGAGGAAAGTTTTGTAATAGTAGATGGTCACCATATACCAAAATGTGGACATATACAGTCGATTTTTCTAAACGAATGTTGTAAACCAGAACGCGAACCAAATACAAAATTGTAAATCCTTTTAATTTGGATCTTTATAAATCTCAAAATGTGGACCTATATTTGTTAATGCATGTGTCTGAAATCCTCAGAATACTGAAATTTAGGAGGCAAAGTTATATAAAGCCATATCTAAAGGGGATTAATATTGATTACCTCTGATGGGAAATGCCGAAAATAAGGAGGTAAATTTATATGGGAGCGATGCCTTAATTTGGATCAATATTGAATATACTTTTTTATGAATATCGATTCTTTCCTTCACGCTAAACATTTAAAGTACCAAAAAATCGGTAGGAGGACAGAAATTGCACATCGTCGACCTTGATCTTTTAGTTATGAATCTCGATACACTCCGAAGGTAGCAAAATAGTATAGCACAATATGTACCGATGAACGGAAAAGGCTAAATCGTCTTCGAATTCCATATTTTTTAGAGTATAAAAAATAACCCAAAAAATCTCATCCCAAATGCTTACAATGCGGATATTTGGTGAATACCGTGATACCCCAAAATGTGGGCCGATATTGATAATTAGAGATTGGAACGATTTTGGAAAAATGGGAATCAAAATTACAGCCATTTCGGCTGAAACTCCTCAAAAAACCAAAATTTTGAATATCTCTACCCGAAAAAGTGAAACAATTTTAGTGAGAAGATTTTTCCATATTTTAACATTGCTCCCATGTTAAGTTTCCGCCCTATATTAAATATTTGCAATGTCTGAACCATATATTTTCCAATTCAATTAGATGAAATTTGGCAATTGTTTCCAATTCATTTGGGGTAAGGTGTCTAATAGTCGTCTGCGCCGACTGTAGTTTTCTTTTCCAAACAAATATTTGTTTTCTTCCACACCACTTTGTCTTTGCCGTTTTAACATTTTTTC